TATATATATATATATAATATATTTATATAATATATATATAATAGGGGAACTGTTAATAATATAAAAAAGAAAGAAAAGAAAGAAAAACAAATAATACAAATGAATAATATTACTACATGTTGAGGAAATATAGTTAAGGAAAAAAAAAAAACAAGCACAAAAAACCCTAAACCCTAAACCCTAAACCCTTACTAATTTCTTCAAAGTCGCTTTGTGTAATAAACCCTGTATTTTGTTTATCATAAGAACGCATTATTTCTTGTACTTGTGCTTTCTTTACCTCAAACCCTAATGCCCTCATTGCCACCTATAAGAAAAAAAAAAAAAATAAGACTACTAAACCCTAAACCCTAAACCCTAAACCCTAAACCCTAGAAAAATTCATATTTTTTTTTTTTCTAAAACTGTTTAAAATAATACATCAACAAGAAAAGCAAAAGAAGGAAATAAATAAAAAGAATAAATAAATAAAATAAATAAATAAAATAAATAAAATAAATAAATAAATAAATATAATTTACCTTTAATTCATGATAATCCATTTTTCCTGATTTTTCTGAATCAAATAATTGAAATGCTTCCTTAATTTCTATTTTTTGTTCTTCTCTTAATTCTCTTCTTCTTCCTCCTCTACCACCAGAAGCAGCAGCAGCAGCAGCAGCAGTAACACGAGTACCACCAAACGCAAGAGCTCCTCCTATTTCTGTCTTCCTACTCATCTTTTATTATTATATATAAAAGAAAAATAAAAGGAAAAAAGGAAAAAAAAAAGAAAAAGAAAAGAAATGAAGGAGAGTAGACAATAAAGAGAAAATATTAACAAATAGATTCAGGTGTATATACACCCCAATCTTGTTGCATAAATTCTCTTTTTTTCTGCTTTCCTCCCTTTCTCTGTAGAAAGAAAGAATAATGTACACTTTCTGTCGGTGTATTCTTATTCTTGCTTATTTAGGGTTTAGGGTTTAGGGTTTAGGGTTTATTGGTTAATATTCCTTTTTTAATAAATTCTTTTTTTTCTTCTTTTTCTTTTCTTTTACACCACCGCAGCTGCATTGGTGCACGGTATACCACCGACCGCGGGCAGTATAGCGGCTTCTAAGGGGGAAAAAAGAAGAAAAAGAAGAAAATAATACTTTAAATAATGGTAATATGTTATTAATATAGTATAAAAAGGAAAAAAAGCAAAGACAAAGAAATTCGGTTGAATTAATGGCAGCTTTCCACCTGTTCAAGATGAAAGGATGTATAGGTGTCTAGACAGCTGAAGATGAGGGAAGAATTGCTGAATAAAAGGGAATAAAATATATTTATTAATATTATTTTTTAATATTTAATTAATAAAATACTTTAATTGAATTGTTTGTTGATAAAATACAACATAACAGTAGATGGGGGTTGTTGATTGTATGAGCCCTGGCGCTGCAAGAATGGCGTGCGGTGTACTATAAGGGGGCCCCCAATATAAATAGAATAAGGGAATAAATATATTTATTTTTCTTTATTTTCTTTATTTAATTGAATTAATATTCATAAAAATACAATTCTAATGAATTAATAAATAAATTTATACAAAAAAGTATACAAGAATAAAGAAAGCGGCTTCTCTTGATCGGGCTGTCGGCAGCGATAGTAAGCAAGTAGGCAATCTGCATGCATATTCATGAATCATTATTATATATAAATATTCTTTTTTTTCCTCTTTTTTCTTCCTTTTTTGTATATTTATATCAAAATAAATATAAAATATACATATATTATATATATTTTTTATGAATATAACCTTATTATACCCTAATTAAGATCATTTTTCTTCTTTTTTGTTGGGGCCCCTCCCCTCTCCTTAGGAATATTTCTCTTTTTTTTTTTTTCTTGGATTTTTTTGCATCAATATAATCAATTATATGGGGTATATATACACCTAAATATAAGTATAATTAATGACTAAATAATCCTTATTTATTTATTTATTTATATATTTATTTATATTAATAAGGATGGAAGAAACAGCTGCTGCAGATATTAATTATGAAGGAATTATCTCTTGGCTTTTATGTAGACGTCTCTTACCTCAAGATTATCATCAAAGAATAAAAGGTAAGAAAAAAAAAGAAGAAAAAAAAAAGAGAAAAAAAGAATAAATAAATAAATAATTATATGTTATTCCTTGTTGCATGCAAAAAAAGGAGAAAATAGACGTTAATTGATGTATTTATTATTTTTTCCTTATATTTATTATTATAATATGCATGCATGCACATGCATGCATGCGTGCATGTATACAATTTATTTACTTTTAAACATATGCTGCTGCTGCTGCTTCTGCTGCTGCTGCTGCTGCTGCTGCTGCTGCTGCTCATATACTCTTACTGCTGCTGCTGTTGCTGCTGTTGCTGTTGCTGTTGCTGCTGCAGGTATAACAGCATATATAAATGAGCAATTAAATGTGCCTATTGATTCAATAAATTCATCAAATTATATTAACAAGAAAAAACAAGAAAGATTTGGTTATAAGGAGGTAGACGAACTTGTTAATATATTAGCTAAGGAGGGAGTAAGTATATAAATAAATAAATAAATAAATAAATAAATTAATTAATTAATTAATTAATTAAATTAATTAATTAATTAATTAAAATAAAAAATAATATAAAATAAGAATATATTTTTGTTATTGTTGCTGATTATATTTATTGTGGTGTACGTACACCTCAATAAATATTCTTTTCTTCTTTCCCTCCACAACATATTTTTATTCTTTTCTTTTTTTCTTTTATTTATTTTATATTATTTATTTATATTTATTTATTTACTTTATTTATTTATTTATTTATTTATTTATTTATTTATAGGCAGAGAAGGGTTTATTAACAAAAGCCTTTGGATCTGCGGTGTATAGGCAGTGGCGAAGAATTAAGCAAACATTTATACAACATAATCTACATCTTGCTGATCTATCTAGGTCTGCTGCTGCTGCTGCTGCTGCTGTTGCTGCTTCTGTTGGTGTTGCTGCTGCTGTTGGTACAGCTGCTGCTGTTGCTGCTGTTGGTGTTGCTGTTGTTGTTGATGTAGCTGCTGCTAGTACGAAGAGTATGTGCATAACTACTGTTGCTGCTGCTGTTGCTGCTGTTGCTGCTGCTGCTGCTGCTGCTGCTGTATGGTGTATATACAGGGCATTAAGTCATACAGCTAATGTTCTTGTACCAACACAACAGAAGACACTGCAACAAAAACAGAGACTGGTAATATAAACCCTAAACCCTAAACCCTAAACCCTAAACCCTAATGGCGATTTGTGCTGTTCTAAGGTCGTTTATTCTTAGCAGTAACAGCAACAGCAACAAAAACAACAGCAGCAGCAGCAAGAGCAGCAGCAGCAGGAGAATGCTGTGTATGTATTTATGTGTGCGTGTGTGTGTGTTGTTGCTGTTGCTGTTGCTGCTGCTGCTGCAGCTAGCGGACTGTAAGACACGTCAGCAGCAACTGCAGCAAGCAGCAGCAGCAGCAGAAGATGTTTACCGTCGTTTATGTATAAACTATGATATAGAGGAAGCAGCAGCAGCAGCAGATGATGTTTTGCTGCAGCAGCAGTTGCTAGCATACGTACACCGTAAATTACCGCAGCGGTTGCAGCAAGCTGTGCTGCTGCTGCAGCAGCAAGGAAAAGATTTACATTTTTTTTATTATTTATTTATAATAAATATAATTAATAAAAAAGAAATAAATAATATTCTTCCCTTATTTAATTTAATAAAAGAAAAAGGGAATATAACAATAGAGGAAGCAGCAGCAGCAGCACCACATATTGAATTGCTGCAGCAGCAACTGCAGCAGCAGCAACAACAACAGCAGCAGCAGCAACTGCAGCAGCAACAAGAAGCAGAAGCAGCAGCAGCAGCAGCAATTATACAAATAGAGGTACAGCAGCAAGGGAATGATGATCTATTAGATACAACAAAGGAAGCAGCAGCAGAGGATACAGTTTGTTGGGATATAGAGGAAGAAGAAACTAGCAGCAGCAGCAGCAGCAGCAGCAGCAGCAGCAGTAGCAGTAGTGACACGAGCAGCAGCAGCAGCAGCAGCAGCAACAGCAGCAGCAGCAGCAGCAGCAGCATAACAGGGACACTACTAGGTAACGATGCTATACGCCGTCAACTTCTTATTGAGCTAATAGAACTACAGGGCTTCTTGTATACACGTTTGCTGCAGTCTGCTGCAGCAAACAGCAGCAGCAGCAGCAGCAGCAAACGTAAACAGCAGCAGCAGCAGCAACAGCAGCAACAACAATTTCAGGAGAATACCGTCTTACCTGAAGAATTGCAAAAAAGCGAACAAACTGTACGCAAACCCTAAACCCTAAACCCTAAACCCTAATCTCTAAACCCTAAACCCTTGCACCAACGAAGGACAACGATTTATGAGTGTTATGTGCTGCTGCTGCTACTGCTGCTGTTGCTGCTTCTGCTCCTGCTGCTGCAGTTGCTGCAATGGAAGGAATGTGTAGAGCAGCTACAGGATCTATTAGGAGGTGCAGAGACACTGCAGCTGCTGCAGCTGCTTCGGGGTAATGAAGCAATAAATAGGTAAATATAAATAAATAAATAAATAAATAAATAAATAAATAAATAAATAAATAAATAAATATAATTGATTAATTAATTAATTAATTATTAATTATAATAATTAAATTAGAAAAAAATAATAAAAATATCTCCTCTGTGCTGCTGCTGCTGCTGCTGTTGCTGCTGCTGCTGCTGCAGGTTGTGCAGCGAAGTTGCTGCAGCAAGAGCAGCAACAAGAAAACCTCTTAGTGCAGCAAAAGAGCAGCAAAGGAAGCAAGCAACACTAGAGAATGAAGTCCGTATCTGCTGCTGCTGCTGCTGCTGCTGCTGCTGCTGTTGCTGCTGCGGTTGCTGGTGCTGTTGTTGCTGTTGCTTGCTTCTTCCGGTTGTGGCTGCTGTTAGTGCTGCTGCTGCTGCTAATGTTGCTGTTGCTACTACTACTGTTGCTGTTGCTGCTGCAGGTGGCAGCAGCAGCAGCAGCATTAGAGAAGCAGAGGCAGGAGGTGCAGCAACTGCAGCAGCTGCTGCAGGAGACGATGGCTGCTGCTGTATCTATGAAGGTACGAATAACAGGTATACCTAGAGAGAGGCTCCCTTGACGCAAACCCTAAACCCTAAACCCTAAACCCTAATTTCTGAGGTGTACGTACACCACAGAATGTTCTAAAATGGTTTAATCCCCTCTTAGTAGTCTGCAGAGCGCAGACACAGAGGCAGAGGGCAAGACTGATGGGTAGTAAACCCTAAACCCTAAACCCTAAACCCTAACATGTGAGGGTTTGATACCCCCCGCGGGTGTTTATAAGTTTTAATTGGTTGTTTTATTTGCTAAGAAGGAGATTAAATAAATAAATAAATAAATAAATAAATAAATAAATAAATAAATAAATAAATAAATAAATAAATAAATAACTAATAAGGAAAGGAAAAGAAAAGGAAATAAACAAAAGTTTAATTATCTTCAGGTGTACATACACCTCATATAAATGCCGCAAGCAGACGCTCCCTTTTGTAAACCCTAAACCCTAAACCCTAAACCCTTCAAAGATGTTCCTTTTCCTCTACAATTGTATAAATAAGTTAATTAGTTAATTAACTTTATTAATTGTTTATGAATAAATAAATTAAATAAACAAATAAATAAAGAGATAAATAAA